ATACACACCAGACGCAGAATCTTTATTAGAGGATCCTTTTGGGAAATGCAGTCTTCTATATATGTGTTCACCTGGATGGAAAATAACTTTCATCAGAATTATAGTCAAGCTATAGATAAAACATATAAATCACTGTTGCAAAATAGCCCAGGTGAAACTAAACCTTGAATAACAGATGCAATTAAGCATTTGCGATTATTTTGCGTATTTTAATCAACTTTTGAAATATCATGTGAAACTATTGTATCTATGTACATACTCATGTGGGAATCATTTTATGACAGATTAGCTTTGGAAAAACAATAGGTAGATGACGAATACCTTGTCTGTGTCGACTCCAGTCATAAACTCCTGCTCCACTGTTAGATTGTCAAAGAAGGACTCCGATGCTGAAATGAGACATTATAAACTTAGATGACACCTTATACATTCAATGTTGTAAAAAAAGAAATACGTGATTCTATAGTCCTTAAAATCAGGTGAAATAAAAGACATAAAACACAGGTTTTAACGCTATTCCAAAATGAAAAAGATTTATATCATCACTGCAAACGTTGCCTTAAATTGGTGGACAATGTTATTTAAAAGAAAACAAGATTATGTGTATTTTTTCACAAACCACAATGCTTTATTTTGTAATGTATTAAAATAATAAAAATATTAAAATAATATGGTGTGAGAATCGTTCCAAAATGCAGACAGAACAAACGTAAAGCAGCTTAAGTGGAGAAGAGGTTATTTACGCACTGGTGATGTCCTTGATCAGCTCTGCTACAGAAGTGTGGTTAGCCAGCGAGCTTCGTGCTGCCTGCATGTGAGGCAGCTGAGACACAAACTGCTTTATTTCCCCCACTGTTTTGGCATTATGGCGTTCCTGAAAAGCAAAAAATATCACTATAATTGCTGAATGGTTAATATGTCTACTACTGCACTTTGAAATAGTGGAATCCAATTATCACAAAAAGTCAATCATACAGCACAAATTAAATTAGATGTAAAACAGTTTGGCCATGGCAGACAATAAAAGTGTACCAAAAACAAGGTTAGGAAGCTGATCAGCCTTTATCCAATTATATTTGGAGATCCATCTTTTTTTAGTTAACTACAACCCCACACAACATACAATAAAATATTTTAGTTTGGTGTCAATCTACACAACTTCCCTTTATACTAAACAATGTCAACACACACAGACACACAATCAATTATGTTCCTGAAAACCTTTCTAATGGAAAGTGGACTTTCCACATTAGCAAAGAGCAGCCTGCTCATGCTCACTGCTTTCCAGGGTTAGAACACCTCTGATGGTGCATAATTTTGCTTATTATCAATCTCTACTAATGTCATTTCGGTTATAATATAAATATAATAATGACTGTACCTGAGTTCTGAGCTGATAAGAGAATGGTAATAATGTTGTTAAGCATTCTGCTTCAACAATTAGTACTTTCTCTTATCTCTAACCTCATAGATTTCTTATATGACCTTTGTGGTTAAAAACAAATGCCAGAGAGATTACAATCACATCAGATCTGCTGGGATGTCTGGAACTGATCTCATGTAGCTCCCTGGGAGTACCAGCCATTGTAACATTAACATTGTTTATACACTATAATCATTTTAGAGCAGGCAAATATGCCAGAGCAACAAGACCAACCTCAAAGGCAGCTGAGATTATTTTGGCCTTCTTGCTGAGCGCTGCTCCAACAGCGTTGAAATTTTTGTCCCGTATTTCTGCATACAGTTCCTCTGCTGAGTTGAGTTGTAACTTCTTGGGCTCTGTGGGTAAATCTTTACTCGCCTCACCTTGCTTCTTCTGTGCAAATTTCTCAGGAGGCAACTTGACATAACCTGTGAATCAGAAGGAATAAATACAAGGGCAAATACATATATGCAGATGTAAGATAACTAGAACATGCACACATAATGAGAAGGAGTCATAGTTTATTCTGACCATTACTGATTCCGTAGATCTCATCAATGAGACCCTCGTAGGTGAGCTGTGTGGCCAGAGGGGTGAGCAGATCAACATTACGGTCCAGAAGAAGCAGAGTATCGAACACGGGCAGGATCTGATTCTGACTGCCGGCAAACTCCCTCTTCATCCTCAGCATCATGTTGGCAACATGCTGAGAACGAGCAGAGGATTTATTTTTTTCAAACAAATTCATCCACCTGACTTCTTCTGAACCTCTGTCCATGTGCAATTAGCAGTTTTAATTTTAATACTGATCATGAGTTTTCATACAAAAATGTTTCCACCACACTCACACGTGCACATTCTCCTTTCCCATAGATCTGTGGAATGGTGCCATACAATGCCTGTAAGGTCATGAGGCCTTTGGCTGTGTGGTAAAGGCTTGTTTGGTCATTTTCTAAGTAGCACTCCTGTAAGAGACAAAAAGAAAGTAAACTCACATAAGACTAGTTACAAATACACCACATCTATAAATAAATGGTGTGAAATTCAAAATATTTCCTTACAATTATCATCATGTCATGTGATGTTTGAAAGTGTTTAAAAACTACTGTTGATTTGAAATCTAAATCTTCACTTTATAACATACAGATTCTTCATTTCATAGAGCAGCTGAGTGGTTAATATGCTGTATGTCTGGGATGTACAAGTTCAACACACCCTGAAAGCACTTTCATACTCCATGGACAGCAGGTCACCATCATAGGGAATCAGGTCTAGGATATACTCGTCAATGTTGATGAAAGAGCCCAACACGCCCTGCTCCTTCAGCCGCTGTTCACACAGCATGCTCCGCCGAGGCACAAACAAAATGTGGAAGTCTCGTGACGAATGCATCTTGTCCTCACTAAAAAAGGTGCACAATCCAAAGGCAAAAGTGTTGCACGTTGTGGACATGTTGCATCACTTTTCAAAGTGATAGAGAGGACTTGAAAATGCTTGACTGTCTTATATAGGGTAAATGCCTTCATGACTGTTTACACTGTTGGTCTTGACAATGAGACATATACACAGACCTGAATACATTCTCAGCAATGATGTCCATGAGCTCCAGTCGGGGACGAACAAAGAAGATGATATTTTTGACGTCAGCTGGGGGAAGCCTGCCACTCTTAAGGGTGAACATCTTTTCCACTTCATGTTCCTGAAAAACACAGTAACAAACATGCAACATGTGATTGATATCTAAGCCTAACCTGTGTTATATGGTACATTAATATGCCTTTGACGCCAGATACCTCACCTGTGCACAGAAAGCACTTACCTTCAGTAGAGAGTACTGAGCTATCAGTCCGAAAGGTCCAGTCAGATATTCATCCCAAACTATGGCCTAAAGAGCAAGGGCATAATAAAGACAGTGGCAAGACCTGAAAATGATGTGTATGCGGAAATGTTTACTGTCAGTGTTACCTATGATTTAGCCAATAGCTAATGGTTCCAATAAGTGATTATGTCCCCCTAAAGGACAAACACAACTTATATACGGATGTGCCTGTAGCTTCACTGTCAAGAGATGTATCTAAATATATTCACACTCAAACATAACCTGTAATCTTGTGTATTTTGCTCAACGTGCCGACCATTGACAGCTCCACGATGACATTAAGGCTGAAGAGATTAACGTCGCTGCATCGGCCATGTTTTTCGTGTGTGTGTGTTCATTACCTTGCTCCCCGCACACTTGTCCAAAAACTCTCGAAGCTCTTTTCGTGCTGCTTCTCTCAAAATGTTTAAATTGACTCTACCGTACGACAGGTGGGCCGCCATCTTTCTTCATCGGCAACACAACAAATCAGGTGACCACAGCGTTGGGTGAAACCAAAGAAGATACAATATCAAGATGGTTCACGCCATAATACAGCCCAAACGAAAGTCCTGGCGTACGTAAACGTCCTGTCCGTTAGTCGGAACAATAGACTGTATAAAAGAAGAACATCAACAATACAACGGCCTGAAATTATCATAAATAACGATGAACCGACGAAGTGGTCGGAAACCAGCTATATTAACAGCATAGCTATCCATCTTTGGTTTGCGTGTTACGCTTGCGTGGACCTACTGAGTAGTCGTTAAGCAACTTCACCAAAATCTTGTTTTGCGTCTTACATGCATACGACTATCGGTTGATTTAACGTATCTTCAACACGAGAAATCAGAGTGAATACATATTAGAGCAGCCTATTGTTAATGTGGAACACGAATACGGAAGTAGGAGGGGACAACCCTCTTGTTTCATTTGCAGTCTTTTTCTGTACGTAGGTGTAGCCCTTTTTATATACAGTCTATGATGTAGCCAGAGTGTAGCCACTAAAAACTATGCCTCTAATCTAAATCCAAATTATTTTCACAGTGGTGTTTTTTTACATGTTTGTACCGATTCCACTGATGTTATATATAAAATATATTTTGTAATGAAACTAAAGGGGCTCATTATATTCTTTCTTCGATGCAATAAATACTTTATCCGTTAGATGGCGCGATGTCGCCACAGTAAAAATCTAAGCGGACGTATGCTCTTACAGTTGAGACACTGACGTTAGTATTTCAGTGATTTTGGAGATTAAATCGTTGCTGCAAAACATTAGACTATATTAAAGTTCCAGCAAATTCTATCATCATATAGGAAACATGCAGATATAGCAGCCTATTGTTAATGTGGAACGCAGTAGTTTATTTGCTCCCAAATAGTAGGATATTTCTGTGGGATAAAAGAAAAAGAAATAGATTAACTCCATTTTGTTTTTTAAAAAGACGTTTGCATTTAAATGCAATAACACTTTAAACATCCAAATATCTTGTTGTAATGTGTAGGCTATGTTTAAATACCACAATGCGTTGTTATGAATCACCACAGTTAATTGATCTTGTTTAAAATGATAGTTATTTCTCAATAGGCCTGCATGGATGATGAGACAAATTCAGACACTATGCGCTGTTACAGAAACAATCGGATTAGATGATGACTGTCCACTTGGGCATCAATGTTATCACTTCAGATCCAGGGGTTTCCTTCCCAGGGTACCAAGGGCTTTCTGTCCTCCACGCAGGATGGAAAACGAGTTCCCCACGCATTGTGGAGGTCCGCTGTGATTCTAGCAACAAACTACTCTTCCAGGCAAAAAAAATAAAAAGCACGGGTTTTGGTGACAGGCACCATGCGCAATGACTGACTCTGACTCTGTGGTCGGGCCCAAGCTCTGCACAGACATTTAGTCCGCATCATTTCCTGACAGCTCCCCGAGAGAGAGGAGAGAGAAAAAGCAGGGCTGGATTATCAGGTAGGCTATATGAGCTCCTTCGAAGGATTTTCAAACATTGAATCCTTAACCCAAAATCACTGTGCGGTTATTGCGTTTGGTCAGTGACTCAGTGCATTAGAATTTGTCATTTACAAGTTGAATGAATGCAGCATTTCATTCACAAGAGAGACGCTGGAAATGATCTCTTATGAGGGAACACATTTCATTGCCCGTGGGCTATTTATTAATGTGATGGAAAACATTTTCATTGTCTTTATGAGCCAGTAACTTACTCAGTCATTTTAATGAAAACATTGGTAACTGTGCAATGCAACTTCGTATGCATGGAGCAAGCTGCTCATTATTAACCTTTGTAAATGAACATTTAATTCATTCCTTTGTTTTAGCGAAAACGTGTCTTACTGAAAATATTGCTCTGCAGCAGAATGCTCCTGTCATACATGCAAGAGGTGTTGATAAAGCTAATTACCTTCTTCTGGATTGTTGCATAGATTTACTACAGCATGCTTTGGTGTTGGGATCATGTACTCAGTTTATTCATGAATGGCTGATAAATATAACTCTTGGTGTAGCTCGATAGGTGTTAAATTACCCTTAAGATGAATTAAAACAAGAATTGTGGCTGGCTGCACTCCTGCAACACGGGCGCTTCCTTGTTGCAGATCTGATATAAGAAAACAGACCTGATAGCCTAAGTCATGTGGGAGATTGTGTGGTTGCGTCCCTGGGCGTTGCTGCAGGATTTTTAGGAGCGCACACTGGGGCTTGATGTGCCTGTAGACTAGAAGGAAAACATCACTGATACCTCCAAATGCTGATGTGGGCAGGGCAGCTCTCAACTCCAGCTGTGCCACAGGACAGGTGATTCAGCGTACTTGTTGTGACGTTATCTGGTCCTGCACCCGTGGGTTTTCACACTCGGTGGGTCAGCGCAATGTGTTTTGTAAAGACACTTATTGGACCAAACCGGTTTATTGCTTCTTGTTTTAATATTGAATGATGACAGAAAAAAGAAGCTGGGAATTCGCCTCTTAGTTCCACCACCTCCAACTCCGCCTACAGACCTGAGGCATGGGGATTAAATGGGGGGAGGGGAGAAAAGACTGAATGAACGGTCTGAGAGATATCTGCAGCTGCCTTCTCTCACATGAGCAACCACAGTAGTGATTGGACGACACCCTTATTATGCTGGTACCTCTCTCTCCGCCACTCCGCTCCTTTCTGTATTTGAAACCACTGGAATTATAGGCAAGAGAGAAAAGGGGGATTTTTTGGGGCATTTCACATGAAACAAGAGAAAACGAGAGATTGAGTGCACTAGGAAAAATGGGTATTTAGGGAAAAGGTGAAAAAAGATGGAGGAATGAAGTGCTCTGCAGGCTAACTGCATTATTTAAAGCTGAAGGATGTACAGCTACTGTACCCATAGTCGCATCATCTTGTCCTCCTTTCAGCTGTCTTTTCAACTATGACTGTTAAGAACGAGGTATCATTTCTGACAAATTGCAACTACATTTATTAAAATGGGGGGTGATCCACTGATACTAACATTGCAACAGTGACCCGAGTTTTGAAATTTGGCACAAATATAGTCTACTACAAACACACACACACACACACACACACACACACACACACACACACACAGAGCTTTTAATCATTCTGATTCTCGTCTTCTGATCTTGCTGTTACCATGGCCACAGTTGGTAAAGGTGCATGACTCTATGTTCCTCTGTGCTCTTCACAATCCATATATGGAGCTTAGAACCCAAATCATATGTTAGACTCTAAATCTCTGTTGGTATCTGAGAACTGCTTTTGAGCATATTTCTATATTTGCGGTATGAGAGATGTTATTCTCCCGATTTGTTGCGGAGCTTCAGAAGGGAGTGGCTTCATCTTCAAATTCTCATCAGAAAGGTGGATGAGAATCGATTCACCAGCCTCTCTGGAACTGGTGATTAGATCTGCCTAAACACTGTGGCATATTGGAAAAGACAGTCGTAATTAATGTGGCCTTTAAACAAAGTACCCCCAAGACAGCAGTGAGTTAAATAATCTAAATCAACAAACTTTGCATTTCAAGTCACATAGCTGAGCTTCCCAAAAGGTTTTTTTTTGTCTCAGAAGTTGGGCCAAAGCTTATTTTTGTTGTTGCAGTGTTGCCAGAAAAGAATGGGCTCTCATTTGCCAACCGAGATCTGCTAAAAACACCCAGGGGCATTGTACCTGCTAGTTTGCTGGTGGGACAAGAGGGAGGGTCAGATATCCAGCAGCTGAACTGTGCCAGATCTTCAAAGAGGAGCAACAAAGAGACAGAATCATGGCCATCACACTGAGGGATTGATAGGAGATCTGACTTGCTTCTTTATATGTTAAGAACCGTGTAGTTTATCTCAACAGACCACCAGCGGTTGGTCACTTCCGGTTAGCAGCAAATACATGCATAGTGTCTTTACAACAGACCTTTATTGCTCTGATTTAATGCCCCTGTCTGGTAGTACTCAGATAAGATGGGAGGAAATTGAAGGAGCATGTCTGGCCAATGCATCAGCAGCCAGTTCTCAAAGTCCCACCTCTTACCTCTGGGGCATACAGAGATGAATCACCATCAGCCAAGCAAATTTGAGACTTACTGCAGGCTCTTGGTGGAGAGCAGTTAATTGAGAGCTCCACGTCTGATAGCCATTTACTTCAATAGTTCTAAAATAAGGCCTGGACTAAAGAAGTCTCTGAATTACATTAAAATGTGCGTCAGCAGACATTTTCCAGCTGCGTTTGAGGACGATTGCTGGAAATGAGACCTAAAGGGTATGGACTGCTAATTCAGTGTGCATCGTGTTGATTTAAGAATGAAAGACGCAGCACAGCACCCACCCCGTTTAGGTCTGTTGGATAGGGCCAGGATAGCAGCACGGTAGCTTGTTGGTCACTGGATGGTCTTTCCTGTTTGTTCTCCAGCGATGCGGGACCTGGAGACATGCCTGCCCAAGAGGATGTAGTTGTGTGTATTTGAAATGGTGCAACACTTGCACATTAGTGAGGTGAAGAGTCTTCACAGATGGTTCCACAGATGGTCCCTGTCAACGCCTTTGTCTGACTGAAAACATGGATAATTTGTTGATGCCACAGAACTAAAAAGGCTAACACACATCCTTGCTGTTTCCCAAAATAGAGTTCAGTCATTGCTCAATCTGCCTGGCCCTCTGTGATCATTTTGTCCCCAAATCCACTGTTCTGTACATAAAGTCTGATAGAGATCCGAGTACATAAAACATGCACTAATGCCTTAAAGAGGTGAAAAGCAAAGGGGTGGTAGTTGTAAATAATTAAGAAATGCTGAGTGATGTTTTCGTTCTGCAGTGGAGGGCTTCTTGGTGCAGTGCTGTACGATTTTGCCCAGGTCCAGGCCTCAGTGTGTTGCTATGTTGGCATCTCACAGTCCCTTTATGGCGGATAGATGGAGTTGGTGCCATACGACTGGGAGTGGATGGCTACGTTGTGTTTTTTGGTCCTTTCCTACCAAGTATAAAGTCAATCACCACTTTTAAATTGGTTGCACTCCAATCGTTCATTGAATATTGCGTTTAAGGCCTGCTCAGCTGTGTATTGGTACAAGTTGTAAGGTTGGACATTTTACTGTCTAAGAAAACTGTCTGCACAGACCTTGAATTTCTTTTTGACATTAGCACCACCAACCACCAGCCCACACGTGTCACCACAGAATGTGAGGGAGCAGCTGGTTGTACTTTTAGATGACATGTAGCCTACGTGTGAGTCAAGGTATTGTCAGCTAGTTTTAGAACATTTTAGTGAAGGTCTCTAGATGGCTCATAACTCAAAAAATAACAAAGCAAAACTTATTAATGGGCTTTACTTTTACAGTCACCATTTTATATAAGAAGATTATTTGTGGCCATCTTTTGACATGAAAGATTTCTAAATTTAGATTGTAGCATGATTTGCATATCTTGTGGACTAACAGCAAACTCAGCTGTAGATATGTAATATATATACAGCTTTAATATTGGCTTCTGTTTGTCCAAAATATTTTTATATCTCTAAATGTTAATATTCAGAAAATGGTTCTCAACTAAGTCTGTATTTATAGATGAAAGTGGGATTTAAAATAGAAATAAACAATCCTTTTTTCTGTCTTCCCTGCTCAGGCATGATTTTCCAGATCACCACGGGACTTGAGTTGAAACTGTAGACCAGCCAAGACCCTCCTGTCTGAGGATCTTAGGCTGTTTTGCTGCCAGGACAGATGGTAGAGGAAGAATATTTGGGATTAAATAATTATTTAATCCAGCTGTTTAGATTTTTGTTCAGTTTTAACATTAAAGCATACAGTGGGTACGGAAAGTATTCAGACCCCTTTAAATTTTCCACTCTTTGTTTCATTGCAGCCATTTTCCAAAAATCAAAAAAGTTCATTTTATTTCTCAGTAATGTACACTCTGCACCCCATCTTGACAGAAAAAAACAGAAATGTAGAAATTTTTGCAAATTTATTAAAAAAGAAAAACTGAAATATCACATGGTCATAAGTATTCAGACCCTTTGCTCAGTATTTAGTAGAAGCACCCTTTTGATCTAATACAGCCATGAGTCGTTTTGGGAAAGATGCAACAAGTTTTTCACATCTGGATTTGGGTATCCTCTGCCATTCCTCCTTGCAGATCCTCTCCAGTTCTGTCAGGTTGGATGGTAAACGTTGGTGGACAGCCATTTTCAGGTCTCTCCAGAGATGCTCAATTGGGTTTAAGTCAGGGCTCTGGCTGGGCCATTCAAGAACAGCCACGAAGTTGTTGTGAAGCCACTCCTTCATTATTTTAGCGGTGTGCTTAGGGTCATTGTCTTGTTGGAAGGTAAACCTTCGGCCCAGTCTGAGGTCCAGAGCACTCTGGAAAAGGTTTTCGTCCAGGATATCCCTGTACTTGGCCGCATTCATCTTTCCCTCGATTGCAACCAGTCGTCCGGTCCCTGCAGCTGAAAAACACCCCACAGCATGATGC